AAATTTTTAAATGACCTTACAAATTTTTATAGTTGTGAAACATAGATTTTGATAATCAAATTATTCTTGCAAAGAAGTCTCTTGAACTAATGTGACTTTTAAAAGACCATTCCTATGGAAATAACTATCTATATATGGTTGATAAATTGTTTTTGTTGAAAATTAAAATTTAACCAATCAAAAAGGAGTTTCGCACCAAACCTAAAATTTAAGCAAGATAGAAAAGGTGATTTGTTTGATTACCAAGTTTTGTATTAGTTTTACTCTACAACTAACTACTTTAACTTTTATTACTCGAGAGTAGTTTCTATTAATTTAAAACTCATTTTGTACTCCGTTCAAAGTTTTCTTTCCTTCACTCAAAAATCCCTTTCAAAAATTCGTAAAGATCGTCAAGGAAAAAAATGGATCACGAATTAAATAATATTAAGTGAAAGAGAGCTTTTCGCTAGGAAATATGTTTCTAATTATAATTTTAATCAACATATACGGTAGAAAGAATTCTTCAAAATAAATAAATAGTCATTAATCCCTGTAGAATCCTTTGCTTAATTTAGACGTTCTAAAAAGGTTATCCATCTCATTATCATCAGCTGCGAGTGCACCACCAGAAACATTCAAATTATCACTGAAATTGAAATCGTTAGTGATGGATGGACCTGTTTCAAATGATATCACCACGTTAGCAATTGGCATAGGATTAATAATCCCCATACAAAGTGCGTCGTTACCTGGTATAGGGTGAACATGGATGGCCAGAAGCGTAACAAAGATAACCTCCACCTCGACATATCGAACCTGGAACAAGCGAATTGGTGACTGGATCTTATGTAGCAGATGCGAATCCGAGGATATTCAAATTTTGTGTTTTTTTCGAGTTCCATAATAAATAAATGCTTAATTATTTAATTATTTTTTATTTAAGAAGTAATTGTGGATTACCTTCAAAACTTGTCCGAGTATTAGCTCAAATTTGCCAAACATAAACGTAAGCGATAGCTAATACAATTTTATAAGGCACTTTAGAAGCAATCACCAGAGATTTTGGATTCAATTAACAAATAAATGATTAAAAATAATACAAATGTATAAATGTAATCTAAAAATGTATAAAGATGATATTTAACTAATAAAATAAGATATTAATAAATAGACATGTTTTAACAATATTTGTTGGTATTATTTTGATTTTGTAATTTAAAATCTCTTTTACAGTTGGAAAGAACCTAGGGTATTTATATTGAACTCGCTATTTTTTTTTATATCAATTTGAATTCATTGATTTCTCTTAGAACTATATAC